TGGTGAGGTACTGGAAGCCGTCGTAGAGTTTGGTGGTGATGGAGCGCATGCTGCCGTCCACCATCTGCTCGATCAGCAGCTGGAGCTGCTCCTCCGTCATGTTCATGTGGAAACGCTCCTTCAGGTTGCGGATGGTGGAGGAGCCGTGGAAACAGGGGAGCTGTGACCCTGCGGGGAGAGAGGGAGGGATGAGGGGAGGGCTGGGTTGGGGGGAGGGCTCTGTGCAGCGGCGCCGTGGGCTTGGAGGGTGGGTTGGGGTATGGGGACCCCCTCAGAGGATGGGTTGGGGCGTGGGGACCACCCTGGAGGATGGTTTGAGGATGGGGACGCCTTTGGAGGTGGGGTTGGGGCATGGAGACCCCTCCCTCAGAGGATGGGTTGGGGTATGGGGACCCCATTAGAGGATGGTTTGGGGCATGGAGACCCCCTCAGAGGATGAGTTTGGGCATGGGGACCCTCTTAGAGGATGTGTTGGGGCATGGAGACCCCCTTGGATGGGTTGGGGCATGGGGACCCCCTTGGAGGATGGTTTGGGGCACAAGGATGCCCTTGAGGGTGGTTTGGGGTATAAGGACCCCCTTGATGATGGTTTGGGGCATGGGGACCCCCTGGGAGGATGAGTTTGGGCATGGGGACCCTCTTAGAGGATGTGTTGGGGCATGGAGACCCCCTTGGATGGGTTGGGGCTTGGGGACCCCCTTGCATGGATTTGGGCATGCAGACCCATGCTTGAGAGTGGTTTGGGGCATGGAGACCCCCCTTGAAGGATGGTTTAGGGCATAAGGACCCTCTTGAGGATGGCTTGGGGATGGGGACCTCTTTGGAGGATGGTTTGGGGCATGGAGACACCTTCAGAGGATGATTTGGGGCATGGGGACCCCCTTGATGACAGGTTGGGTCATGGGGACCCCCCTTGAGGATGATTTGGGGCATGAGGACCCCCTTGGATGGTTTGGGGCTTTGGGACCCCCTTAGATGGACTGGGGCATGGAGACACCCCCTTGAGAGTGGTTTGTGGCACGCACAGACACCCCCCTTGGATGGGTTGGGGCCTGGGGATCCCCTTGGAGGATGGTTTATAGCATGGGGACCCCCTTGGAGGATGGGCTAGGGCACAAGGACCCCCCTTGGAGGATGGTTTGGGGCATGGGGACACCCCCCGGTGCTGCCTGGTGGTGTTGGGGTCAGCCAGGACCAGCCCCCGCGGGGGACATCACCGCTGTAGGGGACATTGCCACCACAGTGGCCACTGCCACATTTCAGGCCTGTTCTCTCACCGAGGAAACGGCCTCCCCCTTCCCTTGGGGGGGTTTTAGGCTTCCCTGGTGCTTGGCACCCACCCCAGGCGCATTTCTGCTCCCTTCCTGCTCCGGGTGCCCCCGTACTCTGCGATCCCAAAGGACCCCAAACCCCACGTGCCGAGGGTCACCGAGCCACTTTTTGGGGATGCTCTGTGCAGCCTGGACCCACACGTGGCCCCTCTGTTTCCCCCACCCCAGCTCCCTGTACCTTGCTGCATGATCTCTGCCCCTCTGTTTCCCCCACCCCAGCTCCTCGTACCTTGCTGCATGATCTCGACGATCTGCACAACTTTATCCATGTGCTTGCGGGCGGCGATGAGCCCCTGCAGCATCAGCATCTTGTAGTAGTTGAACATGTCCCCGTCCAGGCCCCCCATCACCTGCAACGGAGAGGCACGATGGGATTTTGGGGTGGGGGAAATTTCACTTCTCTGAGTGCACCCACACGGCAAACAGAGCACCCCCAGCTTCCAGCCCAAACGCTGGGCCCCAGGAGCAGCTCGGAGGGGCCAAGGTTTGGGGGTGCCCCTCCACGCTGTGGTGTCGCCCCTCGCCCGTCCCCGTCCTCACTCACGTCCACAAACTCCGTGGTGAGTTTGAAGGCGGACGTCTCGAAGCCGAGATTCCTGGGGGAGCTGGAGAGGATGAACCCAAAATCGATGTGGATGATGTGTCCGTCCGCGTCCAGCAAGATGTTCCCGTTGTGCCTGCGGGGAGAGGGGAAACGTCCTGTTCCACTTCCACACAGCATCACAGAACATCAGGAGTGGGAAGGGACCT